TTTTAAATTATTTTTTAATTAAACCTACAAACTAACTCACCAGTTTAATAATCATTACTGATTCATGTTGATCAGCACTCATTAATGATATTTGCTATAGATATAGATATATCTATGTCTAGATATATCTATATAGACAGACAGACATTTACTGTAAGATTTTAAAAATCCTATTTGTTTAGAATGATACCTGGTATAGGAATATGTATATAAAATTGATAAAACATAAAGAGGAAAAATACTACTTGCTCGGTAAACAAATTCTTTCAGGTTAGAAATTTGGGTGCCTATTTTCCTATCAGTTTGACTATTATTCTATGAAGAAAAAATGTTCAGCGAGAAAGAGAACTGAGAGACTGAGATTATAACTAAGGACCTCTCCAAAGCATGTAGGTGCAGAAACGGAGGAGATGCCAGCATTAAACTGTTCCGCACGGCTACTTCCAGGGAGACATTCAGTTTAAGGAAAAGGTTCTGAGCAGCCAAGATGTGGCTGTCAGCCCCCATTACCTGTTCAAGCTCATAGGCCTTGGCCTTGTCCTCATCCCGGTCTGCATTCTTGCGGTAGGCCATCCCCAGGCCCCACACGGCCAGGATGCTATAGATGTTGTCCCGCACCCAGGCGTCCTTCTGTTCATGGCTGGCCGACAGCAGCCCTGTGACAGGATTCTGTAACAGAAGGACAACAAAGGATTCATCACCATGAGTCCATGGTCCCTGCAGGGCAAGGAATAACAAGACGGAGGTTTTCATCCTGGGGGGGGAGAAATCACATGACTCCTCTTGGTCTCAGTTTCTTCACCTGTGTAACAAGGATACTACGTGAGAAAAGCTCTTAAGAATTTCAGGCAAGAAATAGCTCGCTGAAAAAGCCTGCAAGGTATTTACATATCTGTGTATTGCAGGATTTGGATCTTCTTGGGTCTTTGTGTCACTGCCAATCGGCAAAGCACTGAGCCTGGAAGCAGGAGCTTTAACCCCTAGGCTCAGCCCATCACTCAAGCTATGGGTCACGGAAGGTACAGACCAAAACAACTGGGCCTTAGCTGGCTGCCCAACAAAAGGGAACCTGGGAGTTTTGTTTAGCTCTGGTATCGCATCACCAGTACCTGAAAGGCAAGTGAGTCACTAATGAGTCAGTTCTCAACACAAACATGATGTTCTCAGCAGCATTATTTCTAACAATCAAAAGTGGGACCAACCCAAATATCTGTCAGCTGATGAATAGATACACAGAATGTGGCATACTCATACAAGATACTGCACAGTCTTAAAAAGGGAGGAAGTACTGAGAACATGATTATGGTGAGTGAAATAAGCCAGACATATTATAGGATCCCACTTAAATGAAACATCCAGAACAGGCAAATGCAGAGACACAGACAGTGGACTGGGAGGAGGTGAGAAGGGTGAGAGGTCCCGTACTGAACCCATGGATTCTGAGGTGATGAAAATGTTCTGGAACTAAACAGAAGTGAGAATTGCATAATAATGTGAATGTAACAAATGCCACTGAATCATGCACTTTATATGAGTGAATTGTATCGTACATGAATTTTATGTCAATAAAGCTGCTATTTAAAAATAAGCTAGTCCTAAAAAAAAAAATAAAAAAAAAATAAGCCAGTCCTAAGAAACTTTGAGCAGGAATAAAATGGAAGAGTTAAGAAAAGCATCCCATAAAGATAATCTCTGACCTTCCTGAACGTGCACAAAGAAACAGCCATCTGCTAAAGTACATCACAACAATCACAATCTTGCCAATTTAAAAAATATTTAAAAAGGCACTATAATATTTATAAGGGGACTCATGAAGAAACTTTACTTGGGCCTCTCGAAACGTTACTACCATGTTTTATAGGATAAAAAACAAAGCTAAACAAAACACTCCCACAAACTGGCACTGCTACAAAATGGGTCTCCTTGGAGGCAAAGACGGTGACACTTTGTGTTTCATACTTTGGACATGATGTCCCTTTCCAAGGCTATTCCTTGGAAAGGGACATCATGCTTGGGAAGATGGAGAGTTAGCAAAGGAGATGACGACCCCTAGTGATTTGGTTAGGCATAGTGCCTCAGCAATGGGTTCAATTGTGCCAGAGATAAAGACGTTGGCACAGGATAGGACAGGGTGCAGACTGGCTGTTCACAGGGTCACGATGAGTCGTACTCAACAGTACCTAACAAAAAGGAACTATATACTTTACTTTCTCCCTTAACTAAACTATTGTTGTTAGGCATTGCTGAGTGGCCTTCGACTCTTAGTCACCGTATGTACAGTAGCTCTGAAGTTTGCCCTATCCTGAGACAGTCTCACTGACTCTGACATACCTACCCCAACTACCCCGCTTACTGCGTCAATCTGGGGTCATATCTGGGGTCTTTCTCTCTTGTGCTGTCCCTCTACTCTTCCAAACATCATGTCCTTCTAAAAGGACTGGTCCTTCCTGGCCACGTGCCCAAAATATGTGAGACGGAGCTTCAAAATTCTAGCCTCCAAGAAGAAACTTGGTTTCACTCTCTCCAAGAAAGACCTGTTTGTTCTCTTTGCAGTCCATGGTATGTTCAGTACTCTTCACCAGCATCACAACTCAAAGGCATTGATTCTTCTTCTGTCATCCTTAGTAATTATCCAGCTCTCTAATGTATAGCAAGTAACTGCAAAGACATGGTCTGGATCAGGCACACCTCAGTCTCTAGACTGACATCATTGCTTCTCAGTACTCTAGAGAGGTCCCTGACGGCAGATTTACCTAATATAATTTGTCTTTTGATTTTCTGACTGCTGGTGCCAACCAAGAGTGTTTGTTGACTGTAGAGCTGAGGAAGTTGAAATCGTTAACTTCAATTTCTTCTCCATCCATCATAGTGCTGCCAATTGGCCCAATGATGAAAAAAAGCTTTCTTTCCTTGATGTTGAACTTCAATCCATATTGAAGGCTGCAGTCCTTGACCTTTTGCAGCAAGCACTTCATGTCCTTCTCAGTTTCAGCAAGCAAGGATGTGTCATCTGCATAAGGCAGGCTGTTTATGAGTCTTCCTCCAATCCTGATGCCACATTTCTCCTCATGCAGCCCAGCCTCCCAGATGATCTATTCTGCACATAGACTGAAAAGATAGGAAGCATCCCTGGTGTAAATGCTTCCCAATTTTGAACCATGCAATGTTTCTCTGTTCTGTTTTGAGGACTACTTCCTGGTCTGAGTATAGGTTTCCCATGAGCACAATCAAGTGTGCTGGGACTCCCATTCTTCTCAGAGTTTGCCACAATTTGTGGTGATCTACACAGTCAAATGCCTTTGTATAGCTAATAAAACACAGACATTGCTCTGGGATTTTGGCAGAAAGCAAAGAGGACATCTGACATTGGCGATACTGTCTCTAGTGCCACAACTTCTTCTAAACGCAACTTGTATTTCTGGTAGTTCTCTGTCAGTGTACTGTTTGTTTGTTCTGTTTTTGGGGTTTTTTTTTATAATCTTCAGCAGGATTTTGCTTGCATGTGGTATTAATGATGTTGTTATATAATGTCCACATTCTGTTGAGTTACCTTACTAATCTATGTCTTCTACAAAAATATCTAAAACTGAATTAATATCACAAGACTCAAGAGCTTCACAAAGGGGCTCTGAGTCTAACTCTTGAGTCTCTGGGTGATTTCCTGGCCTGGGGTTACCCAAGAGACCTCAAAATAGATAAAGATGCAACAAGGGGCAACAGTATTGTGTTGCCATAGTTCTACACAGTCTATAATTACAAATCAGTATTAAAACGAACCAGAAGTGAAGTCTGGGGATGGCTGAGCAAAGTTCCACGTTGTTCTCAAACAATGGGCTACTGAAGATCTTTGTTAAAACCATTATTCACCAACACTGTACAACATAAGCATCTTCTTCTATTCTGAGGTCTGTTGGGTAACCCCAGGCCAGGAAATCACCCAGAGACTCAAGATTCAGACTCAGAACCCCTTTGTAAAGTTCCTGAACCCACAAACAGTCTTCAGATGACACAGCAGTGAACACTTATATCCAGACTGAGTGTGGCCTGGATTATAAAAATAATTACTGCAGTAATTGGAAGTCATCTCTCTTCTCCTTCAGTGTGGACTTAACTGTTGAAGTGGGTGAACTTACCTTCATCCAAAACTAGACTGTGCTCACCCCCTTGTTCCACCACAAAGAAGCAGTTAAGGTCTTTCTATGACCCGCCCTGACGAAGAGTCAGGGTGACTTCACGTCTGATCCATTTGGACCCATTTTGCCTCAGTTCCCACAACCCTCTGACAGCAAGAATTGGAGGGGGGATTCCCACATCCAAGTAAGTATATGCACACACAAGCCACATTAGGTTGGGGTACTATTACTAACTTGCAGCGGAAGGGGATGTTATTTTTAAATGTTTCTAGTGAAGCCTTAAAAAATGGAGTAGTAGAAGACGTAGGAGGTTCCACTGAGATTCACTGAAACAGAAATTGCTGCAAATCACAAGGGACTCTGCCACCTCCAGTGTGTTGTCCCTTCTTATAACCCAGCAGTTTCTGTCAACCTGAAGGATATTAAGTGCTATCTTTTTGCTCTTTTTGCCAGAAAGTGAGACTATACCTTCTAACTCTGGCTCAAGAAGTAGAAGAGAAATTCCAAACACTCAAAAGTAAGAGTCTCTGTGGCTTCTTGCTGCCTGAGCATGACGACCCTCATGCGCAAGTAATTGCAAGTTTTTGGGGTTGTGTGCTTTTTTCTGGGCTTGTGAGAACAGAATGGAGCTCCACAGGGTTTCCAATGGCTGACTGTTCAGAAGATAATCACCAGGCCTTTCTACCAAGATGCCCCTGGATAGACTCAAAACACCTCCCTTGTGGATAGCAGCCAAGTCCATAACTACTCAAACTATTTAATTCTTCCAATCCATGACCATAGTATTCAGCCTTGTTCTCATACTGTAAATGTCTAAAGGACCAAGTCTATCCTTCTCGTTCACTACTCTAACCCTAAGTCTTGACCTAGTGAGGTGCCAGATAAAGAAATGAACAAATGTATAATAAAGGCTGTATTTGTATTGATTTCTATTCAGAAATATCTGTTCAGTTATACTTAAACATGACGATAGTACCTACATACATGTAAGTGCAGTGTGTTTTTAAAGTAGGAATCATGCTGGCATTTGTCTAGAAATGATTACATCAGTGACTGGGGTAATGGGGGTAGGTGAGGTGTGTCTGAGACAAGATTGGCACAGGATAGAGCAGGGTTTAGGGCTCTTCTACATAGGGTCGCTATGAGTTGGAGGTGACTTGACAGCACATAACAACAACATAATTGAGAATAGGGAGCTCTGACAAAGGCTGTGTCTCTGGAAGGTTCAAATCTACCAGCAGCCCTGCAGGACAGAGATGGACAGTGTCTTCCCATGCGGTTTATAGCCTCAAAAACCCAATGGAGGGCCAGTTGTGATGGGGTCCTAACTGGACAACAGGGACTTTTTTTAAATATAGCTGAGATTGCTAATTATATAGTTGTACATTAGTTTGAAATATAGATTTTGTACATTTTGATAGGTAAACCTCAGACTTTTCAGAGGACAATCTTGAACACTTTAGCTTTAATGTGCAGTAGCCTCACTCTTTACCAAAGGAGATCACAGGTAGACCAATCTCACTGCTAGATGACATC